AATTATTTTCCCTTCCTCTTTTCGTTTTATTCCCTCTTTTCCCCGCGCGTGGGCGCCGCGCTGACCCCTGGAGGAATTTCGAGGTGGATCGGGGTGGGATGAGGGGGGACACGCGTGTGTCACATCCCCCCCCAAGCGATGGGGACACACGCGTGGCAGGGAGGGCTCTGAAAAATGCAAATCCCCGGGGATTGTGAAACAACCCCCCCTGAAATGCAGGGACAGCCCGAGGGGTTTTTTCTTGGAGGGAGTGAGAATTTCCTTGGATTTCAGGGAATTTGGGATGGGGGGGCGGTCCTGGGGTAAATGGGAGGGGGGGGCTGAGAGGTTTTCGTGTCACCCCCGAGGTGACACCGCCCTTAGAACCCCCAGGGCAGCTCGGTTTGAGGGTGCTGAGCCCCTTTTGTGCCACCCCGAGATCAGCCCGGTTTTGGGGTCCTGAGAGCTTTTTGTGTCACCACCAGATCAGCCAGTTTGGGGATGCTGAGCCCCCTTTGTGTCACCCTGAGCTGCCATCCCAAGATCAGCCCGGTTTTGGGGTGCTGAGGCTCTTTTGTGTCACCCTAAGGTGTCACTCCGAGATCAGCCCGGTTTTGGGGTGCTCAGAGCTTTTTGTGTCACCTCGAGGTGACATCCCCAGATCAACCCGGTTTGAGGTCCTGAGAGCTTTTTGTGTCACCCCAGATCAGCCCGGTTTGGGAGTGTTGAGACCCTTTTGTGTCACCCTGAGGTGTCACCCCTAGATCAGCCCGGTTTGGGGTGCTAAGAGCGTTTTTTGTCACCCTGAGGTGACACCACCCTTAGAACCCCCAGATCAGCCCAGTTTGGGGGCGCTGAGCCCCCTTTGTGTCACCCCCAGATCAGCCCGGTTTGGGGGCGCTGAGCCCCCTTTGTGTCACCCCAGATCAGCCCGGTTTGGGAGTGTTGAGACCCTTTTGTGTCACCCTGAGGTGTCACCTCTAGATCAGCCCGGTTTGGGGGCGCTGAGCCCCCTTTGTGTCACCCCCAGATCAGCCCGGTTTTGGGGGTGCTGGGTCCCAGCAGAGGTGGGGACTGTCCCCGTGTCCCCCCCTGCTGCAGGCAGTGGTGGCAGCGGTGGCGTGGCTGTCACACCCCATCCTCCATGGCTCGGGCTCTTTCCCAGCTGGATCTGGGCTGGGAATTACTTGGGATGAAAGGATTGGGGGGGGGGGGGGTGTCCCCCCCACTCTGCGGTGTGAGGACAGCGCTGGTGACACCGCAGGGGACACGAGGCCATCCCCCACCCCTGCCCCGGGGCCAGGCCCCTGCTCCAGCAGCTTTTCCTATTTTTGGAGGCTGTAAAATCCCTTCCAAACCTCCAAAAAATCCCTTCCCTCTTTTCTCCCGGGGGAGAGGACGCGAAAACAAACAGCACATGACACCCATTAGTCACAATTTTTCGGAGTGACACCACAAAAAAAAAGCTCTGTCTGTCCCTGCCCCAAACCAGGACCAGCTCAGTCCCTCCAAATTTGGGGTTTTTCCTTAAAAAGGGAGATATTTTTCCAACCAAGGGGAACGGTGATGGGGCTGCCTCCATCCAGAGGGCAGGAGAGGTGCAGGGATTTGGGAATGATGAGTTTTCCTCGGCAGCAGCTTTGGCTCCCATTTATTCCCAATCCAGGGGGGTTTTATTCCCAATCCAGGGGGGTTTTATTCCCAATCCAGGGGAGTTTTATTCCCAATCCATGGTAGGTTCAGCAGGATGAGGCCGAGATCTGAAGGTGCCTCCATTCCCATTCCCTTCTCCTTTCACCTTCCTGCACCTCTGGATTATTTTTTTGCTCATCTAAAGTGGCCTTTGCTTGCAAAAGGATAAAACCACGGAATTCCTCGGGAACTGGGCTGTGGGGTCATGGAGAAGGGAGGCCTGAGCTCTGTGGGATCCTTGTGGGGTTTGGGTTGGCACTGCCAGCCCTGCCAGGAGCGATGCCAGCCCCACAAACCCGGCACAGGTTTCTTTCCTCTCTCTTCCCGGCGTTCTCACTCCCGGGTTTTTCCTGCTGGGGGGAAAAAAAAAACCCACGTGGCCAACCCTAAACTCTGAAAGCCAAAGCTTTTGGAATGTTCTGAGTCCTAAAGATCTTCACCGTGCTCCTCAAAACCCTTTTTGCCTCCTGAGTAGGTGCTGGATGTCAGGAATTGTTCCCGGGGAGGGGCTGGGATGGAATTCCCAGATTTGCTGTGGCTGCCCCTGGATCCCTGGGATTGTTCAAGGCGAGGTTTAGGATTTGGAGCACCCTGGGACAGTGGGAATTGTCCCTGACCTTGACAGGATTGATGATCTTCAAGGTCCTTTCCAATTCCAGCCATTCCATCATTCCATGATTTTTGGCATCACTTGTGATTCCAGGCCGGCAAGGATCCTAATTCCTAATTCATTCTTAAATCCCAATTAACTCCTAAATCCTAAATCCTGCTTCAGGGGTGGCCAAAATCCTCCCGAGCTCGGGTATTCCAACAAAACCCTGTCCCAGGATGACCCCGGCTCCTTCTCCTGCTCCTTGGTGCTCTTTGAGCTCCCACAAACTCTTTTCCCGGAATCTGGGATACTCCGGGAGTTAATTCTTTCTTAAACTTTCCTTTTCATCTGCTCCAGGTTGAGTCCAGAGGGCTCAGCTCTGGAATTCAGGAATTTCTTCACTCCATCTCTTGCTAATCGCTGCTTTTTGGGAGCTGAGCACCTCCCACCTCACCCACCCTTGGGCCCTTCTCAATCCCGCTTTAGGGAATCCTCCCAAAAACCCATCAGGCCGAGCCTGCCCCTAACGGGGTGAAAATCGATCGTTCTGCTCTTATCAAGATTCCGATGAGAAGATTAAAGCTCTTCCCATCAGGTTCGGCCTCTTCGGAGCTCGTTAAACCCGAGCTTTTGTTGTTCCAACTTTCAGCTCTCCC